GGGTGACCACTGGGCAGGACAGAGCTCAAGGAAGCCTCTGTGTCTCGTAGGTGGGGCAGTAGCCCAGCAGGTCCCAGTGCAGGCCATTCAGGTGCACCAGGCCCCACAGCAGGCGTCTCCTTCTCGAGACAGCAGCACAGACCTCACGCAGACCTCCTCCAGTGGGACAGGTAAAACTCAGCCCTGTCATCTTCCCTGCCTTTCCCTCCACCTCTGAGGCTTAGCAGTAGGTGCCCAGCAGATCCCTCTTTACCTGAGGTTAGAGAATTTCTTAGAGTCTGGGCTTTTGACCTAAACCTTATGAGAAAGTCACATGGGGATGGATGGGTTTTAAATGGTGCTCTGCAGTGGAGCTGTGGATTCCAGGAGGAAATTAGGGACCCCTGAAGCCATCTCCCTTCACTTACCTGAGAATTTATTTCCCCAGAGACACAACATCAGGTCAGTTACTTGGATGGTCTTATCCATAGCAGTTGTCTCCCTGTGGGCGGGAGTGGGGGTTTTGAGTAGCTATAATTCTCCTCAGGTGGCCATTTCAGAAGTGAGGAGACACTCTCAGAATTACTTTGAAGTTGTTATTTCAACTTACTATACCAAGTATGGTCTAGTGATTGGAAGCACAAGCATTCCTAGGAGCTGGTGGTAATGCAGACTCTGGTCACCCAAGACCTATTAAATTAGAATCTGCATTTTAGCAAGACTCTCAGGTGACTGTATGCGCATTAACTTTGAGCAGTGCTGGTTTAAAAGATGGATTTGTTGGGTGTGAGTTTAGGAAGAGGGAAGAGGAAATAGAACAAATGGTTTTGTCAAGTTTCTGACTGGGTACATGGCCAGAGTCCTCGGGTGGGATGGGGGCATTGGTAGGGACCAGTGTCCCGCTCCCTGATATGTGTCTGTTTTCCAGTGACACTGCCTGCCACCATCATGACATCGTCCGTGCCCACAACTGTGGGTGGCCACATGATGTACCCCAGTCCCCATGCGGTGATGTATGCCCCCACCTCGGGCCTGGCTGATGGCAGCCTCACCGTGCTCAATGCCTTCTCCCAGGCACCATCTACCATGCAGGTGTCCCACAGCCAGGTCCAGGAGCAAGGTGAGGGGAGGGCAGGGCTGCAGAAGGGAGGACCATTTCCTCCAGTACACGTGTCTTTTGCAAAAGCTCTATCTCCCTGCTTCTTATTATCTTTTATTTTGCTTTTTATTTATACTTTGGGTTTCTCATATAAGACAAACCATGCAGTATTTAAGCTTGTGTGTCTTATTTATTTCACTTAACATTATGGTCTCAAGGTACATCCATTTTCCTACAAATGACTCAAGTTTATCCCTCTTTATGGCAGAGTAGTATTCATTATGTGTAAACACCACCTTTTCTTTATCTGTTCATCTGTTGGTGGACATATAGATCATTTCCAAGGTTTAACTGTTATGAGTTGTGTTTCTATAAGCATGGGTATGCATGTGTGACTGTAATATGATGACTTTAACTCTAGATACCTGGAAGGGGAATGGCTGGGTGGAATGGAATTTCTATTTTTAGTTTTTTGAAGAGTATTCATACTGATTTCCATACGGCTGCATGCATTCCTGCACGTGCACATGCACGCTCACTCACGGATGCTGTCACACACTCAGGCACCAGTGCTTCTCCACTTGGACACTCACCTGAGCATTCCCTGTTACTTGTGCATTTATCACCACCCCCTAGCATTTGGGGGCTCCAGTGTTTGGGCTCCTCCTGAGTGAGCCTCTCCTGTGTTCCCCATGCAGGTGGTGTCCCACAGGTATTTCTGACGGCGCCGTCTGGGACAGTACAGATTCCTGTGTCTGCAGTTCAGCTTCACCAGGTAGGTGGGGGTCCTTCCCACCCCATCCCATGGGCACATATCTGGACTTGGGGGGCCCCATTACCATCTGACCTAACCCAGAATCCCTGGCCCCTCGCCCCCCCATTTTTCTGCACCTGCCCCCAGCTCACTGTCTCCTCCCCCCCAGATGGCTGTGATAGGGCAGCAGGCTGGGAGCAGCAGCAACCTCACCGAGCTGCAGGTGGTGAACCTGGATGCCGCCCACAGCACCAAGAGTGAATGATCCGCCCGCCGCCCTGGACAGACCGCCCAAGGGACGGCACCACTTATTTATTGTTGCCTTTTCACGTTTTCTTTACACATATATTGATGGGCGCAGGAGGGAGGCGGGGTGGAGGAGTGGGCAGCCACAGGACTATGCCCTCTCACTCCAGCCAAAGAAATGGGCCTGCCTGCCCTCCACCCGTCCTCCCTCACCCTCCCTCCTGCCTCCTCCCTCAGACTGCCCTCCCCAGCTCGGCTCGATGTCTGCCATGAGTATTAGCTTACCCAGTGGGACCGTGGCCCCTTCCCACTCACGGGCCTTCTGTGGGGTTGGGCACCATGTTCCCCCCGAGGAAGCAGTCGGGGCCCTCTCTCTAGCCTCCTTGCTGACCCCAGGTCAGCACTGTCTGCCACAGGCTGGCTCGCAAGAGGCCTGCCCTGCTCCTCAGGGAGCCAGCTGGGGAGCTGGGGTGCCCCCACGCCCCCACACCGCCCTCTGCCCCTTCAGCTCCTAAGCAGCTGGGCCTGTGCAGGGCCGATTCCTGGGGCTGCCCTGCCTTGCCGTGCCCCAAGGACCTCCAGGGGCACTTGGGTTGGAGGGAACCACCAATGTTCCCTTCTTCCCCTTGTCTTCCCCCCTCTCCTCCCAGCTGCTTTAAAGTTGATTTTTAACTTTTTGAGGAGACGAAGTGAAAACAAATCTATAAATATATATTTTTAAAATATTTAACTTTTTTTTATGGCGTTTTTCTCGTCCCCTTCTCTGCCCATACTCCCTCTCCCTGGGGAGCCCTTAGGCTCCCCAGAACTGGCAGGGCCCCTGGGGATGGAGCCACCCCATGAGCTTGGGGTCCTCCAGTGTGGGGGGGAGATTCTGGGATGGCCCCATCCTGGATTGCTGCCAGGAGAGAGGAAAGGGGCCCTCAGGCCATGCCCCAACGGGGTGGGGAGGGCCACCTGCAGCTCTGGGCCTCTTTTTGCCCTTTAGGGCTGTTACTAGAGAGAGGGAAGAGGGCGACCAAACATGGGGGTGGGCATGAGAGGGTGTCAGGTAGAAGCAACTGACTTCATTTGTGCCACATGCATGGGCATTGCAACCTTGTGCTCCCTCCCCTAGGCCCACAGCTGCCTGGGGCCCAAGTTGCAGTGAGCAGGATGGGGTCTGGGAGGGGGGCCAGAGGCAGATGTGGGGGTCACAAGTGGGAGCCGCTATTGGGCTGAGTGCAGCAAAATAGGGAGCCAGAAATGGGCAGCTCTCCCAGGGAGTGAGCAGCTACTGTAACTTTTTAAAATTAAGACAAAAAGCCTTGAAGAAAATGACTTTATTTTTCTAAATGTAACCTCAGTATTTATGTAATTTGTACAGGGGCCATGCCCCAAACCCCTGCCCCCCTGGGGTAGATTTTGAGGGTGGGCCGGCATGGGGGAGGGTCTTTTACCCTATGTCACAGCCCACCTTCACCAGCGGTGTCCAGAAAGGGGCTTTTTCAAAACCGGGGCAGCAGCTGGAGCAGACCTTTCTTAACTCTCCCAACTGCCTTCAGTCAGAACAACCCTGCCTCTGTGATCAGGGGAAGGGTGGGGGAGACTCTACGCACAGCCTAGATATCAAGGGGATGAACTGCCCACGTTGCGAATCCCCTAACATCTACCCAGTGGTTGTCTTGCCCCAGTTTAGGGTGCCAAGATGGAAGTCACCTCTCTGGGCTTTCTCTTGGAGATGGCTGGGGTTTCCGGGTGGCTTTTAAACCTGGGGCATGGCAAATCAGGGCCAGAGATGGAGCTCGGGACTCAGGTCTGTAACTCCCCAGCCCCTTCACTCTGCTCTTGTTTCACTCCACCACCACTCACACCCTGCTCCCCCACCCAGGGGAGGAGATGCTGATGAATTCCTCCTCCTTCCTGCAGCAGACAGACCCAGTGAGTGAATCAGGCAAAGTGCTTACAATGTGTGTTGTGTGAACGGGGCCTTGGGAGGGCATGCGTGTCAGGGATGAGGTGGCATTTACATGTGCAGGCGACCCTTGGTGTGGTGTTTCCCTTCCTCGATGGCTCTGGGATATGTGTGCGTGTGCCTGAGTGGGTGTGTATGTGTGAATGTGAGTGTGTGTGTCAGTGGTTTCTACTTTCCCTGGGATGCTGACCCAGGAATGGTGGACATGGTCACAGTCCTATGTACAGAGCTTTCTTTTGTATTAAAAAAAAACTCTTTCAATAAATGTATCATTTTTGTGCACAGACTGGGGGTCTTTGGCTTTGTTTTTCTACCTAAGGAGGACGAGATGAACATTAAACCCCAAAACACTGCTCCAAGAAGCAAGTGTGGCTGTTTCATGAAAACAGAAATGTTAAGATACTTTAGGCTGCTGAATTCTCTTAAGTCTTAATGTTGGGGCAAGGGGTAGGGTGGGGGATTTCTTCCTGTGAATGGTTGTGCTAGGAGCTTGGGCCAAACAGTGGAGCAACCATATGGGGGCGGGTGTTTTACAGGGAATTGAACCCAGCGCCTTCACGATGAACTGTATTCCCAGACCTATTTTTTGAGACAGGGTTTCGCTAAATCGCCCAGGCTGGCCTCAGCCTCCCAGGGAGCTGGCATTACAGGCATGTGCCACCATGTCCCCTGAGCGATTTTAATTAATAGGCAATCTGGCACAACTAACCCAAAGTATTGCGGACGCCTCTGGGAAACTCATGGACACACGATCTAGCATAAGGAAGGCAGACCCACAGCAGGGGGTGCTTCACAGTATCCTGGATTTAAAGGGCAGCCTACCGCAGAGTGGAGCAACACCACCGCATTCCCGGGTTCCTGCAGCGCACCGCCCCCCACATTCTCCCCGACCCACCCCCGCGCCAATGCGCATGCTCTATACGCGCCTCTCGGTCGCGCTCGGCGTAGTCCTCGTTGGGACCCTTAGACTCGAGGCCGCGTGCGCGCGCTGTGTGACCCGGAAGGGAGCTGCTGAGGAGGCGGGACCAGGAAAGTGGGACCAGCCGCTGGGTCCCAGCGAGGGCCGAGACGGGCAGTGGGAGGTGAGAGTAGAGTTCTGCGTCAACCCACTCCGTTCCCCGACCTCTCCCCGGTCCCGTAGCTGCCGAAGGGTACCAGGTCTTGCTCTCTGAGATTCTCTTGGTCCTGTCAGGCACCGCCCCTCAGCCTTACCCCACCCCCAATCCCATCCCCACGGCTGGAGTGGCCTCCTCCACGGTCCCTCCGGTCTGCGAGCCCTGACTTGGTCTTGTTGGTTGTTTAGCCTCAGTTCCCACGTCCCGACTCACCTCATCGAAGTTTAGGTGGCCGGCCCCCACCCCCACCCCTGCCCAGTTTTATTTCGCCCTAAGCTGATGAGATGTGCATTGCCCTGTCACTAGTTACCTCCCAGCCCGTCCCTCACGCTGGGTGATCCCCTATTCCATCGAGGTCTACATCTTTCCTGTCTTTTCCTAGTCACTGCTGCTTGTCTTCTGTCCCTGTACCCCTGTAATATGACTCCCTCCCCGATCCCCATTTCTTAACCCGGGTTTACCTTCCATCCTCACTGTGCAAGGCATAATTACTCCTGTGTGCTGTGTGCAAGGCATTATAAGGCTGTGTGCAAGGCATTATTACTCCTGCACTGCTTCATATTACACATATCTTTTCCTGATCATCCTACTTCCATTATAATCTGGTTTATAACTTTCCATTTATCTGATGGCTGCTGCTACCATCTAAGAATATTTGATGAATATTAGATTATATTTACTAAGCACTTATGTGGTAGATGCTGTTGAAAGTGCATTACATACATGATTTTATTAAGTTTTTACAAGTAGAAATATTATTACTATTTGCAGAAGAGGAAACAGGCTCAGAGGTTAAGCAACTTGTTCAAACCTATGCGGGTAGTGAAAGAGCCAGAATCGAGCCATGTTTATGTGACTCTTGAAGTCTATACTACATTGCTTCTCTCAACCTCATTCCCTACCCATAGCCCCATGAGTACTGCCTCCCATCAGTATCTACCTGACCTAGACCCTTACCATACATACAACACAGATACAGTTTTTATTTTGAGACAGGATTTCGCTAAACCCCTCAGGCTGGCCTCAGCCTCCCAGGGTGCTGACATTACAGGCATGTGACACCATGCCCTCTGACCTATTTTAATTAATAGGCAGTGTGGCACAACTAACCCAAAGTAATGCGGACACCTCTGGGAATCTCATGGACACACGATCTGTTGATGCAGACCCAGGGCAGGATGTGCTTCACAGTATTCTGGATTTAAAGGGCAGCGTACCACAGAGTGAAGTAACCCTACTGCATTCCCAGGCTCCTGCAGCACACCACCTGCCACACTCTCCTTGGCTCCCACAGGGTGGGATTGGGTCTTTTTCTTTCATAAGACTTTCATTCATTTTTCTCATGCCGTCATCTGCCCTGGATCACCACCTCCTTTCCTCTCCATTCTCTATATCTGCCATGGCTCACCTGTCTATATACACATTCCAGCTTTACTCTTGTCATTGATATTCCTTGTCCTGCTCCCCTCTAAACCTACTTTTTCTCATATTCTGGCCCCACTGTCTCACATGCTGCTGCCCTTCATCCATGTCATCCTTTGAAGTTCTGATCTAAAACCCTCAGCCACCCTGCTCTTCTGCCCAGAGTGGTCTGCTTAACTGTCACTTTGGGTATTACTCTTCTCATTCTCTCTAATTTCTTCCATGTCTTAAACCCTTAATTTTACCCTCTTACTGTTTTCACTCCATTCGTGTCTTATAAATCTCAAAGTCACTGGGCATGATGGCACATGGCTGTGGTCCCAGCGCTCGGGAGGCTGAGGCAGGAAGATCACCATGAGTTCAAGGCCAGCCTGAGCTACACGGCGAGACCCTGTTTCAAAAAAAAAAAAAAAAA